GAAAAAAAAAATCATACCATAAACTGAGGCTTACAATCAGATGGCAAAACTGGTGCAGACATAGGAGAAGTAATTTTCATTGGCTGGAAATAATTAAGCGCAATTAGAATAAAACTACAAAATAAAAACAAAAATAAATAAATCAATAAATAAATAAAGAATAAGAATTTTGCTAGTACAAGGATTAGGGATAGGAGTTACATTTGCCACCTCACCTGTTGGAGTTCCACACTAGCACGTTTGCTACTAATACGGCGAAAAAGAGAAGGCTTTCGCCGCTTATCTGGGTGATCACGTTTCTGGCGTCTTTGGCGGTGTAAACTCCGACGCGCTAGTTTGCTTTGCCAAGGTTCACGTTTCCGGCCTCCAGTTCGAATGGATGTGTTCTCAAGAGGGGTAGATCGTAATGTAACATGATCCCCTCCAGACAGCAAGAGTTGAAGGACTTGAGTATGATAGAGTCCTTGAACAGCTTCTCCATTAATGTGAGTGATCAAATCTCCAGGACGAACCCCAGATTCAAATGCAGGGCTACCATCATCCACAGCCTACAACCACGAAATCAAAAAACGAAAACAACCTCAATGCTTTCAGACATTGAATATTCTTACACAGATGGAGGAAAGTTGAATTGGTATATATAACAGAAAAGAATAAACACAACACACCATAACCAAATGATGCATAGTGTAGAAATCAGAGTCTCCATAATACACACGAATGGTGTGAACTGTAAAGCCAAAGCCCCTTGGACCTCGACGGATGATGATAGGTGGTTTTAAACTAGTAACCAGAGGTGATAATTCACGACAGGGTGATGTATCACGTGATGAAGCAGTGCTTGATCCTCCAGGAGACTGAATGGGCTGTGGGGTCGACTCTTCTGAAACAGGTGACAATGTGTGATTATTTAGAAATCTACTTCAGGCTACTTTCACCTCCCTTTGCCATTAGTAATATTTAGTAGTATGCTATCTTATTTAGAGAAATTTTTGAAACTTCAAAGAATTTCAAAAAACAAACAAAAAATCTATTATCTGTTTTAAGTCACCACCTCAATATATCCAGTTTGATTTTTGTGTATATTCATTTTCCTTCTACTCCTCCTTTTCCAGTCTCCCATAACTTTATATATGAACATGCCCTACATATCTTGGCTCATGAAATTATTACCATTAGGTTTTCATTTGATAAACATTCTATAAACGTACCATGACAACACTGTGCATAAAAAATTAAATTAAAAAAAAAAAAAAAAAAATACTAGCTTTTAGGCGATCTTATACTATTACAAAAAGGGACACTAGGTAAGTAACATTAGCAAATATGCCAGTTTTCCCTTCCTTCTGCCAAAATCACCCGCCCCACACTCTCACCGGCTGCAGTTCTTGAACCATAAAATATGTAATTACAGTAAAACCCCTCTTTAACACTTTTCAGGCAACTGTTAAAAAAAGTGTACAATGTGGGAAGGGAAGGAAAGTGAAAAATAGAGGAAAGTTGAAAAACGATAGGCTAGGCGTGTACGTTCATTATTTACTGCAATGGTTACTCTTGTTTTCACTTTCTTGCCCTTCGTAAGAAGAGAAAGTAAAAGCATGCACTGGAATCGGCGATTTTCGTCAGAAAATCTCCTATTGCTGTGCCCTGGTAATGAAAAGGTGGATAAATCATATTCCTATATATAGTAAATACTTCCTCTAACACGTGGTGTAGCCTGAATCCCTGTTTTATGGACCCTTGAAACCGCAAAATCGATTGACGGCTGTTTTTTCGGGTGAAAAAGTCTGTACGCCTGTCAGTGATCAACCCGGGCGCCTAAACCACCTGCCAATTTTCTCCAAAATTGATATTCCTAGATTGATCTGAACGAACGTGATGCTTTTGCGAGTTCGTTACATACATGTGTATTATTTACTACATATTGGAATAGGATTTATTTGCTTTTTCTGTATCAGTTTGAATTTTTCCTGTCAAAAAATCGCTGTTTTTTTGCTGCAGCATTACATAACTTTCTCAGCACTAGGTATAAAACATATGTATACAAGTAAAAAAATAAAATAAATTAAAAAAAAAAAAAAAAGTCAAAGACAGGAAGCATTCTTCATACCAAGTTCTAAATTGCAGGAAGAGAATGCATTGTAAATATAAGTTATTCAATGGGACCAACAAAAAATTATGTAAAAGGCAGGGAAACGTAAAATGTGGGTACGTGAAAACAGGGTTTATACTACATGGTACCTTCCACATGCAACAACCACTACAATCAGTAACATAATGGAATCCTTACTCATTTAATTAATGTCACATTTGAATTTGGGACTGTGCCATTCAAGACAGTCTTAGTGCAAAGTATGGGCATGAAACAGTTCAACTAAAGTACCATTAAATTACTCCTGCAAATGCCATTTGTTTAACATTATCTCTTTAGAGGTCTGTTCAAAATTTTGGCAATAGTCCATGAAAATTAATAGGTAATACAGATGCACATGATATTTTTATTGTCTTTCAGTTTATTGTTATGTGAACATTAATGATTTTCATGGCTTGGAAAGAACTTAAATTTTAAAAGACAAAGCTTAAACTCTGAATATAAGATGACCATGTATTTTTTGAATGAGATAATATAAATTATTCTTCCTTAGAGCAGGTCTTAAATAATAGATTCCGTGACAATGGTAATTTTGGAAATATAATGACATAAGGCTGGCCGTCTTCTGTACCGAGGAGGCTGCAGGTTTGAGTGCTGAGTAGGCATGGTCTTTTTTTCTGATTGTTTCTTCCCCTGGTATCATCATCCCATCACCTCATAATTCAAGGTGTTACATCCTTGTCTTACCGTGAGATGTAGCTGAAAAGCTAATCCAATACACACATTAAATGTGTAGTATGGTCAGCAATGGCCGATTGGTATAATAATAAATAATAGAAGTAATGACGTTATTCATATCTATGAATACAATAACGAAATTTATGGAAATGACGCATAAATGATAATCCTAGTATGAATGATGTGACAGAAATATAAACACAGATTGTGTACAATTAAATTACTTGCAATTTTCATTAATTCAATAGATCAATTTCAGGGAAAACAGCACCTTCCTGGGAATAAACTGAAAAAGAATCAACTTCTAGTGGTGGCAAATCACAGCATTATTAAAGGAGATCCCTAGATGAAAAACTAAATGTAGTTTAGTAATTCATTACTTGTGACGTTTCTTTATGCTCATCACACTTTTAAATATTTACTGTCAAATACAAATTGCATGAGTATACAACAACCTAATGCTAATATTATTATTTAAGATTTGAAGGAAGGTGGTTGTTATTCACAAAAATACCAATGAAATATAGGAATCACTCTTAGCCAACACTTTCTTAGAGCTAAAGAAAACTTAATCATTCCTTACCTGAAGGAATCATTAAGGACAAGCCAGATGCTGATGCACTTTTAATAACTGCTCGAGATCTGTGCTTTACACATGAAGAAATAGGGGGGTTGGTGGGCACTGACATACGAGTATCACTACTTCCCCATCTGTCGCCCACAGCCAAAAGAGGCTCTGGACGAACATGAGGGCCGGACTCAGTGTCACCACTGGAAAAAAGGTCATAGATCCATCTATAACAAAGGGCAAATTGCAAAATTTACACATCATAGCAACTATTCTCACATAGGAATTAGTATTCATAACTCCCA